CCTCACACCGCAGCAGCCATCTGGCGGCGCTCTCATCCACGGCAGTCGCGCTGTCTCTCTCGCACTCATTGGGCACCCCGTAGGGGTGCGACAGAGACGGAGCGCTGTTGGTAATCATCCGCCTGGAGGCGAGCGCCGGGAGGGTAGGCAGGCCCGGCGGCAGCGCTGCTCGACGGGACTGCATGGCGGCGGCGAGGACGTCGCGTACCCTGTCGTACATGACTCCGGGCGTTTCCGTCCCGGAGTTGTCCTTCCTTTGCCAGTGTGCCGCCCGGATGAGTCGACAGTGCCGCAGTAGGGCAGGCGGTGATGAAGGGACGGCCCGCGGAGCGTGACGCGCCTCGCCTTGATCTTGTTTGCCGATTAGTCGATCGGATCGGATCGGCGAGTTCTGCGGAGCAAGACGGCCAGCGGGCTGATGACTCCGCTGTCTCTCTCGCACTCACGGCGCGTCCCGGCAGGGAGCGAGGGAGGCAGAGCGACGAGGCAGTGTTTCGGGGACAGTCGACAAGCTCATCGTCGTCCTTGATTACCGCGGCCTCAGCTGCGTTCCTTCCAGGACGATTTAACATGTAGGACCGCCCCGCCCCGCCCCGCCCCGCCCCGCCCCGCCCCCCCGCCCCGCCCCGCCCCGCCCCGCCCCGCCCGCTGTTCGCACTCGGCGGAGCAGCAGCGGCCGCGACGACGAGGCGAGGGGCCCGAAATTAGAGGCCCGGGGACAATGTCACTTTGGCAGCGAAAACTAACGAGAACGTGACGCGTCCGCAGCACCGCGCAGCACGCCGCCCTAGCGGCGCTGGCCTCGGGGCCGGCGGCGTGCACCTCCGCGTCGATCGTCCCGGAACACGCGTGGACCGACGGACGGACCGGCGTGGACGAGGCCTTTGTCCCGGAGGCAAATAACACTCCGCCGTGATGAGCCCCGCCCGGCCGCCATTGTAAAAGAGGAGCATCATTGTGTGCGTGCTGGATCCCGCATCGCCGCGTGGCCGGATCCAGGTTGGCGTTGGCACGGCTGGCGCGGTTGGCACCCCTGGGTGGTCGCGGCGTCGCCGTCAGCAGATTCGCCGGCCGAGAGGTTGGCAGCGCCGCCATCGCAGCCGTGGTTGCCCACATCTTGCCTCGCCGTCTCTTTTATATTGCACCAGCTGCCAAGGCAATAGCACAATAAATTGTCGTTTCCGCGGCCGGTTCGACTCGGCGGCGCGGCGGCGCGGTGCCTTGGCGGTGCCGAGCTCCGAAATCCGCGTCCAGCGCCGCCACCCACGGCGCCAAGGACGCACAGGCCGAGTCTCATTTTCGGCCTTTTCCGGAACGATGCGCCACATGAATGGCACACGTTTAAAAGAGAGTGAAAAATGGCTTTCTTCCCGGTGCAAACGGAACCAGCGCGCTGCTCTCACACCGCCGCCGAAATCCGGCGCGCTTTCTAGCCTTGACTCCTTTGTAATCCGAGCGCACTTGACCTCGTTCGCGGAGTTGATGACCCCCCTGGGGCCTGGGCATGGCCTGAGCATGGCCTGGGGCCCCCGCCACGGGCACGAACATTATTTGGCACGCCAGCACGCCGGCACCGAGATATGGCAATGTGTCACTAGCGCGCCGAGCCGTGCCGAGCCGTGCCGGGCCGCGGGCCGTGCCGGGGACGTGGAGGCCCTCATCCTTCTGTGAAGCAAACGCCGGGCGACCGGAGTGGCGCGCGCTCTCTGCAGATTCCGAACCGCGCTCCGTCTCTCTCGCCCTCGTGGCGCCCCGCAGGGGTGCGAGAGAGACGGAGCGACGGCGTCGGGCCGCGGCGCTCTCTGGGTGACCTTAATGTCGCTGTCCCGTGGCAGTGCTGCGCGGTGCTGCGCGGTGCGGCCCGTGGCGGCGGACCAGGAGACCTGGACCCCGGCGCGGCCAAGCAGACCCCCGTAATCTACCGGGGACATCAAGCCGCGCGGCCGGGACGCTTTCCAGGGGCACGCCCCGGCACGCCGCGGGCCATGGGGACCGACGGGGACGCGGAGATGAGATAAACAGGGATCCCTATCGTCGCCTCCTTCTTCCGACGCCGCGGTCGGCAAATTCGCACTACACGTCCTGCAAGACGCGTTCGAGGCGACGGGCGCGCCTCGGGCTGAGCGTTCGCTTCGCCCTGTCTCTCTCGCTCCTCGGCAAGGCCCGCGAGTGCGAGGGAGACGGCGACAGCCTGCTGGGTGGGCCGGGGCTGGGGGGCGGTGGCTCCGCGATGGCTCTATCCGCCGCCCCGCCCCAGTATGTGGCTAACGTGTAAGTGGTGCAGAGTGTCGACTGGTCGACTAGCCGACTCGCTCAATCCACTCATTAGACCTCGCCGCTCTCCGCATTTCCGTCGTCGCGTCCTTGCCGGCTGTCGTCACTCCGTCTCTCTCGCACTCGTGGGGCGTTCCACAGGGGTGCGAGAGAGAGAGGATCATCCAGCCCGAGGAGACGGCGGAGACTCCAACGCGCGGCCGCGAAAGCCGGTCGCCAAAACGCTGCCTCTGCCGCGGCCCGCGGGCACCGAGACGGGGCAGCGCAATCAGCCGTTGTGAGGGTCACGACCTGGAGGAGGATGACGACGACGATCATCGCCGAGAAAGCACACGGGATCGACGCCTTTGATTGACAGTCCTGAGTGGGCCTGGCTGCCTGGCTGCTCGGCCAGGGCGATCCGCGGGTCGTTTGGAGTCCGGGCCACAAAGGACACGACGGCCAGGCGGGCGGGCGAAAGCCGCACGCGAAAATGACTGCGTCACCGCGTGCGGCTCGGCGTGCGGGAAGCTGGCGGGGCGTCGACGGAGTGGTCCAGGCACGACGTCGGCCACTTTGTAACGTAATTCGTGCACGCAGCGGGGTGTGCGTTACGTGAAATAAATTGGCGCGGGGTGTGGGCCAGTCTGTGTCTCTCTCACACGCCACGCGGCTAGAGTCCCGTCGCGCGGGGATGCGAGAGAGACAGCGAGTGCGTCCTCAGGGGCGTCGTTGCCCTGCCTGGAATGGGGACCGCGCCGCCGCTCCATCTTCCTCATCGAATGCGAATGGCGTCGTTGTGACATTTCCTGGAGCGGGGCCGCGATGCGATGCGGGCCGACGACTCCAGTAGTCTGCGTCTCTCTCGCACCCCTCGGCCATGCGTGCGAGGGGGACAGGGACGGCGCCCCGCGAGCATCGCACAGTGAAATTGCAGTGCGAATCGGGAACCGGGGACGCGCCCCGCGTCGTTGATGGGTATTCCGCCTGAAAGTGTCGCGAGCGCTCCGCTCCGCGCAAGACGCCGAGCCAAACCGCGCGCCGCGTCGCGCCGCATGCAGCCCCAAGCCCGCTGGGAGGGGCAGGGCTTGGGGCACGGTGACCGCGCCGCTTGCGACATGCGCTACCGGCCCCGCGGCCCCGCAGCGCGACAGGACGAAACCGTTCCAGCAAACACGGCGGCGTGGGAACGCCATGCGGTGCAGCGCGGTGCAGCGGCCCAATCGATTCTGGAGGCTCCAGCAGCACAGGAATGCCAGTGCAGCAGCACGCGGCGACGCGGCGCGACTCGGAGACTTCAAAGAGCAGGAAGCGGCGCGCGGGTTCCGTGTAGCTCAGCTCCGGCCCGCTCTGCCATGGCTCTGCCAGCAGGCGATGTAGAGCACAATCGCCAACGAAGCCGGCGCGTCCACTTGTCAACAGCGTCTATCACTGGTTCGACACGGCCAGGCGTGGCAGCGAGCGGGGGAGTGGCCGCGGAGCCGCGGAACGGACTGCATCGGCCGGACTGACCGGAGGCGAACACACACACGCACACACACACAGTCGAGAGATGAAAGATTCACGAGGAAGCCGGGCGTGTCTCGCTGGGGGGTGAGTTATGTTGGCAGCACGCGCAGCACGGGCGGCACGCGCACGCCGAGACGCGCTGTTATGTTGGCAGCGCGCAGCACAGCGCAGAACGCGTGATGCGCCGCGCGGCACGCGAGCCATTATTACCAACGTTACGGGAACAAGTAGTCGCACTTGCCTATCCGCGAAAAAAGGGGGAGGGAGGGGGCGTTCTGCTCGGCGATGTCGGCGTGGCGTGCCTGAGGCGTGCCTGAGGCGTGCCTGAGGCGTGCCTGGCGGCGGCGTGCCCCCAGGCGTGCCGCACGCGCGTGTGCTTCACGCGCTTCACGCCAGGCCGCGCGGAGGCGTGGGGGCGCGGAGGGCGCTGCCCCCTGCCAGCATGGGCAGCATGGGCAGCATGGCCAGCGACGCCAGGGATGCCGACGGCAAACCGTTTCTTCCAGACACTCCCACAGCGCGCAGCGCACCGCTAGGAATGCCTCGCCAATCAAAGGGCCATCTGCGGGTCCGCGAGGGCCACCGAGGGCCACCTACCTACCCCTGCAAGGCCGAAGCCCCCTCCGCCGCCCTGTCTCTCTCGCACTCGCGGCGCGGCGTGGTGCCTCCCGTGGGGGTGCGAGAGAGACAGGGCGAGGCGCGGCGAAGCGGCCCGCAAGCCCCGAGGCCATTAAATAGCAATGAGCTGACAAGAGATGGATAACTGAATCCGGCGCGTCCGCGACTGGCGGACTGGCAGCGACTCCTGTTTGAAGAGCAGGACGATGATGACGGCGCGGGGCGAGGCGGCCGTGGAGGCAGCAAGGCAGCACGGCAATGCGGACCGAGCGGGCAGGATGAACTTCTCATCATTAGGCTGATGTCCCTCCTCCCAGCGTACAGCACTAGCAGCGCCCCGCCCCGCCGAGATCCAGCCAAAGCAGCACACAGCAATCCCAAACACCAACAAGCGAAAAAAAAACTTTTCTAAATAAAGGTGAGGAAAGCGCACTGCGTGCGGTGCCAGCAGGGTTATGTACAGGTGTAAGCCAGTGCGTGGTGCAGCAGATGCAACTCAGCGAGGCCAACACGCGCCTCGAAAAAAAGTCGCTTTGAGTCGTCTGTGTGGCAACACTGAAAAATGCAAATTTATCTCTGGCGAAAAAAAAGAGACGCTCGGGGCGCAAAGTGCAGCTCACCGGACTGATGGCAGTGAATCCGGGAGTTCGACCGTCTCTCCCTGCCTGCGGGTCAAACAACACACTGTAAGTCAGAGTCCGGTCGCGACGTCGCGACTGCAGGCCTGCCAACGACGTCACCAGAACTCGCGACGGAATTCCCCCGCCACCCAGGGCGGTCTGACTCTCTCGCACTCGCGGGGCGTTGCGCAGAGAGACAGGACGACGGCGATGTCGCCCCGCGAGGTGGTCTCCGTCCCCGGCCCTGCGTGTGGCCTCGGATAGTGCAGCAGGACGCCGTTAAAACAGCGCCGCGCCACTGGAACCTCCGCGACGGCGCGCGGAAGGAAGAGGAGCCCCCATCCCCAACAAGAAGTGCGATACCGCGGACGGCCTCGGACTTTCTCCCGCCGAATGTGCGCACTCTGCCGCAGAACGGCCGGCGGGGCCGGCGGGGCTGGCAGCCACAATGACGCCGGCAGTACGAATTCGGCCGCTCCTTCCTTCCTCTCGTTCTCCCCGTTCTTCTTGTTCTTCTTCCGGACGACTAATGAGGCGTCGGAATGGACGTGCTGTTACGGTCTGCACCGCCTGCGCGGGCCCGCGCCCGCACCCCGGCGGCCTGCCTGCACCGCCAGCACTGCACCGCTAGGCACGCCGCCCCGCCCCGCCTTAAGTCCGATGCATATTCATCGCCTAATGTCTTCCTGGAGATGCTAGTGTGGTTCGTCTGGGCGGTGCGAGCCGAGCGCGCGGCGGGGCGGGGCGGGGCGGGCTGCGCGAAGCCCATGGGAGCCGTCTATCAGCGTGAGCCGGACATCGGCGGGGGCCAACGATCCGTGTGGGACGATAGTGCACGGTGGATTCGCACAACAGAACACCGCAAAAACACCAACACTTTTCACAGTTTTTATGTTTGAAAATAGATTTTTACGCGCGTTCTTTTTTTTAGTTCGACGCGTAGTGCACCCCGCTCTGACCTCAGAGATTGGCACACCGTACTGTAAGTCCGCGGATCACAACGCTCGGCCCTATTAAGACATCCCACTACAACGACGGTCTCACTCGTTTTGTTTTTGTTTCTTCGCTTCGAGTTGTCCTTTTTCTTTTTGTCCCGGCCGCGCGCGCTGCACTGTCGCCGCGTTTTGATGAGCCGCACGGCACTGCACGGCACTGCACGGCACTGCACCGACCATCGAGCTGGCTGCAAATGGTTAGTCGTGAAGCAACTCGCAGGCACAAGCAGCAGGCGCAAGCAGACGCAACAAGCAGGCTGGCCCAACGCGATAAAAAAACACACTTCGTTAGTTTGTGTCTTTTTTTCCTGCCCCTAGTTGGGGTACTTTGCTCTGACCCGCTTGTCTGCAAGCCGACTAAGCGAAGACCCCCTGGGCCCCGTGAAGGATGAGCGCAGAAGCCCGGGGATTATTTTTGCCGCGAAAACCTTTGTTGTGTTGCGACAGGGGCGGCAACCAAACAACAGCACGAAACCGCAGAATGGAACACTGCCTCGAAACAGGTCGCCGGTTCAAATCCCGCCTCAAAACTTTTTTTTGCGTCGTATTGCACTTTTGTTTCTCTTACCGGCGGCGGCGGCTGCGTGGTGAACAGCAGCAGCCCGCTGGGGGTGGGCGAGCCGGTGTACACGGGGCCGTTGGGGCCCACACCGTTGGGGACCTGGCGGGTCAGCCAGCGGCTCACCAGGCGCTCCTTGGAGCCGCTGGAGTAGAGCCCGGACACGGAGTGCAGCGAGTCTGGCGAGCCGGAACTCCGCTGCAAAGGCAAAGTGGGGTTAGGCACGCGCACGACGCAGTCGCTGGCGAGGAGGGTTGTCGTCGACGGCGTGCTACCTGGTTGTACAGCGGCGAATGCCGCCGCGACGTCCTGGAGGCGCAGGGGCACACCAGGCGGTAGCAGCGGTAGCCGCTGGCGATGGCGGCCAGGAGCTGCAGCCCCGAGGCCACGAGCAGCCCGCACGACGCCAGCACGCGCTCCCAGTGGCTGGACCCGGGGCCCAGGCTGGCCTCCTCGGCGGACACGTCGCCGGCGTCCTGGAAGGCAGAAAGGACACACGCGTGAAACGTGGAACACAAAAATGGGTGTCTTTTTCCTTCCGCGGCGAGTGGGTCCGTCTGTCCGGCCCGCGTCCCGGAGGGCACTTTCACGCCGTATATTGTTGCAGTGCGGAGTGCGGCGTGCGGCTCGGCACACAGGATTTGAGAGTGACTACGAGCGAGGGCGTCGATTGGCACCGCACGTGTGTGTGTGCGCGTGAGATGCGGTCGGCGGCGTGGCGCGGCGCGGCGTCGGCACCGCACCACCACACAGCCTTGCTTTCTTTTCTCGCGGCCCTCTCCAAGAAGGGCGCGCGGAAGGATGCAGAAAGAGGAGGGGGCTTTGGCTAGGCTGCTAGGCACTGCTAGGTATAGGAGGAGGGGGGCACGTAGCAAAGCACCGAGTGATCGGACACCGGAAGTACGTGTAGTGTGCAGCGCGGTGCAGCGCCGTGCAGCGCCAAGGCAGTGGCGTGGTGCACCGGTACCACGCTCCGCCCGCAACTCGGCAGCGCCCAATTGATCTAAACACCCGCGGCTCACTCTCTATGCCAATCAAGACTGGATGCAGGACAATCGAAAGACATTTTAACACAAAATGTATTCAGAGTAACAGAAGTAAAATCAATACCATAAAGAAAATTTCAGCGAAAGAGGGCACCCCGGCGAACCGGCCCTCTTCCCCGCTGGCTTGGTGGACCAGTGGTTCCCCCATCTCATCACAGGAGCAACCTCAGAGTTAAACCGCAGTGGCCCCGTCATTGGTCACGTCAACTGTGATGTGGAGGAGTCCTCTCATAGTAGGCCAGGCTGCCACCTTTCCCAGTAGTCGGGTTTCGTTCCCGGCCCCCTTCCCACTCAGGGGCCATGCTACTGGTACTCAGGAGTCTGCGTCACCCTGCCCAGCAGCGGAACCACTGGGCTATGAGAGGCACACTGAACGCCGCCCGATTTTGTATACTTGAACCGCCTCCTTGCGATGCAAGCTTGGTCAAAATAGTCGATACTGTACTGGGTATCGAACCCCGGACCTCGCATATGGGAACCGACGCCTCTGCGTTCTCGGCCACCACGGCCCATGGGTAATGTTGAGCGAAGGGGAGCCTTTGAAGCCGCTTGTCCGAACCGTATAGTCAGACAAAAAGAGCGAGAAGCTGGTATTCGATCGCTCGACCCGAGTGTAGGATTCACACATTTCAACACCTTCGGCCACCGCGGCTCACCGGATGAGCCGAGTGTCGCAACGGGTCCAAACCACGTCGGGAAAACCACTCCTAAAATGTAAAGAATTGCTGGGAGTCGAACCCTAGCCCCTGCGCGTCCCTTCCTCGGGATGCCACAGTCTGCCACAGTGTGGAGCCAGGAGTCGGACCCGCGACGTACTTCGTAGAATCAGCGGCGGCTGAGCGCGCAGAGGCGTCGACCCGCTCCTCCAGGGGCTAGGGATCAACTCCCAGCAATTCTTTACATTTTTGGAGTGGCTTTCCCGATGCGCCGTCTCTCTCGCACCCCTAGCCAACGCCCCCGGGAGCGAGAGAGTCAGGGCGCTGTTTTCCACCTGCTCCACTCACCTCGCGGTCCCGCAGCAGCTGTATGTCCGGCGTGCGGGCGTCGCGCACCAGCCCGATGGCGGCCAGCACGAGGACCAGGTTGGCGACGGCCAGCGACACCAGCGACAGCGCCATGAAGGCCGTGGGCGCGATGGGCGGCCGCCCCGAGCCGGAGCCGCCGCGCAGCGAGCTGGAGTAGCAGCTGCGGAGCCCGGCGATCACCCCGACCACACCTGGAGGAGCAAAGGGAGGCACTCGATGAGACCCGGGTTCGAGTACCAAGACTCTTTCCTTCTTTTTTCGATTCCAAGTTTTCGTCCGCGCTTTCTGCTTGGGAGGTTGCAGTAAACCCCTTTCCGTCCGCCGGGCGCCGCCACCAAGGTCCCCGTTGTCGTCGTCGCCGTGGATAACGATCGCGGCCCTCAACCCGTCAACGGCACCGCGATGATCCTCTCAGCGCGAATAATTATCGCCGCAATTAGGGCCTGGCGTTTGGAACGGACGACGCCGTGGCGTGGCGTGGCGGCGCGCGCCCACGTGGTGACAATGGGGCCGTGGGACCGCGGCGCCGCGGCGGGGGTGGACGACGTCGGACGAGACGACGGGCTGTCCAGCGAAGCGGCCATTCCGAACCGCGTCGCTCCGTCTCTCTCGCACCCCACGGGCCGCCCGGTGGGTGCGAGAGAGACAGAGAGCTCTGTTCGGAATCGCAGCCCGCAGCGGGACGATCATTATTCTATTACCGCCGGCACGGCCAGCACGGCCAGCACGGCCTGCACCGCGGACACTAACGGCCGACGGGGTGCTCGCCAAAATGAAGCGAGACCGAGGCAAAAGGCGCAAAAGGCGGAAACAAAGGAAACGGCGGGAAGGGCCCCGCGGTCCGAGCCCCGCGGTCCGCACTTACCCGAGACGAAGGTGACGGCGCCGCCCCACACGCCCGCGCCGACGTTGGACATGGACGCCCTGTGCAGCATGGCCAGGACGCCGAACACGGCCATGAGGACGCCGAGCAGCGCCTGCACGCAGCCGAGGAACAGGAAGGCGTTCTCGTCGCTGGTGCTGCCGCGGCCGGCGCGCCCCGACGACGCGTCCGAGACCGTGGTCGTGGTGGAGGTGGCGTCCAGGTGGTGGCCGGTGTGGTGGCCGAGGCCCGGGTTGAGCAGGCCGTCCAGGGAGCGCGTCTTGAGCGAGGAGGCCGTGTTGGTAGGACTAGACTGGAGCTTGCTGGAGGCCGTGAGCAGCGAGGACGCCGTCGTGCAGGGCAGCAGGGGCGGCAGGGTGGCGGGCGTCGTGGACACCGCGCTCGAGGCCAGCTTGTTGTCCTTCGGCGAGGGCGGCGGTGACTTGGCGACGAAGCCGCCGGGCGCGTCCATCGGGGCGGTGCACGTGGCGCACGACGGGTCGTCCGAGTCGGCGCTGGTGATGGTGTCCACCGTGCTCATGAGGGAGTCCATCGCGGACGACATGGCGCCGGCGATACGCCCGCTGCGGTCGTCGTGTGGCTCGCAGGCACTCACGGGCTGCGCCGGCTCTGCCTACGGCGCGGCCGCATCCTGGCCGACCTGCAACACGCCAACAAGAAGGGGAGGGTCATGAGCTGGAAGAGGAGAGGCATCCAAAACGCAGCGCCGTCCTCGGAACGCGCACTGTGCGGCTGCTATTTCAGAGGAAAGTGTGGTGGTCTCTGCGGCTGGGCCCGGCCCGGCCCGGCCGGAGAGAGGCACTAGGCTCCCGGCACTCGTCCATCCCGCCGCCGGCAAAGCGATTAGAAATTTAGAAATCCCGAAACGGGATGACGATGACGACGAGGCCGCGGTGCTCGCACTCAGCACACTCAGCGAGGCCCTGATTGTGCAGGGAAACGCATAGCAACGCGTAGCGCGAAGCAGCGCGTATAGCCGCCTCGCATCGCATGATTAAGCCGCACCGGACGGCTCCGCGGCACCGCCTCGCGGAATCTCACAGTCGCGCCGCACGATCGCCGGAAAAGGGGGGGGGGGCTGCCGGCGAGAGGACGGCCTGGGGGTAACGATGCGTTAACGAGTGTTAACGCGGCAAGCTTATTAGCGTCACCGCAGTGGCAGTGCTTCTTGCCGCGGCCGTGGTGCGCGTCGCTCCTGGACACTGACTATCCAGCCAGCCAGCCAGCCAGTGAGTAGCCAGTAGCCAGCCGCCAGCCAGCCAGCGCTGCGGCTTGGCGGCAGTGCCGCGGCGCGGTGGCTCGGCGCTCCGCCGTCGTCGGCCCATAAAATCAGCCGCGGCGCGCACTTTTCAAAATTGCGCTTGGCTTTCCTGGCCGGGCTCGCTGCTCGCTGCAATCTCGGCGCCGCGATGTTTGCCGAAGGAGAAAGCACGCCGGCCTAGACGACGACGGCGACGTCCCGCGGCGCCGTGCGGCCGTCTCCCTCACTCGCACGCGTGAGGCGTTCCTCTCGGCCGCAGGGGTGCGAGAGGGACAGAGCGGCGGGGCGGCGTTCAGACTGCAGGCCTGCTGCAGGCGAAGAGCGCCGTGCCGCTGGACGGAGACGGACACTGCACGCGGCGAGGTGCTTCCTCGGGGCAACGCACGCGCCGCGCCGCTCGGCCGGCACATTCCGCACTCCGCCGCGACGACGCCACGCACGGCCGTGCGCCGCGAGCCGCGCACGGTAACCGTACGCCTGGCCGCGTGGCCGCGCGCGTGGCGAGCACGCAACACGCCGTAATCGAAGCCCGGCCCGGCCGCGCGCGCGACGACGGGGGCGGGTAAACACGAGACAACGCCGAGGAAAAGCAAAAACCGGGTCGTCCAGCCGGTGACTGAACCCGCGGTCAAGTGGTGGTGTGCTGGTTAACAGCGTGTATGAGCTTTTTCAGAGCGCCGCGGCGCCCGGTCACGCGATACTACGAAATGCGGTGCGCGCGCCCGTCGCGACGCGTGCTGCCCCGCCCCGCCCCGCCGTCGCCGTGGGTCCAAAAACTTCTCCTTCCCAGCGCGGCGCAGCGGCACACAGAGCGGGGAGACCTTTTGACGAAATGACAGCACGCCGGGCGAAACAGCGCATAACAGGCTGTGTTCCCTTCGAAACCGTTCCGGTACCGCCCTCGCGTCTGTGTGTCTGTCTGCTTGTCTGTCCGTCTGCGCCCCACTGACGCTGGCCCAGCAAGGCGAACCCATTGAAGCATGCTAACTCGGATCATTGCTCATCGGTTCCGATCCCGCTATAAGCCCGCTGTGCCTGTTAAGGCTGCACTGACCGCGGACCAACGTTTAAACGCACTCGCGGTCTCTCATACCGCGAGGTGGGGGAACGAAACACGATAAGGAGGACCAAGAGGGCCGGGCGGCCGGAACCCCTTGCAGTGTAGGCAGTCCCGCCGCACTCCGGCGCCGCCCTGCTGCCTACCCTGGCATTGGCAGGCGCCCAGGCTGCGGGACGACGGCCAGGACGACGGCCAGGACGACGGCGAGCATGATGATGGAGGCGAAGAAGAGGGTCGTGTCACGTGATTCGCTGACCCCATTCCTAGGCTTTCTCATCGCGCCAACGACCGCGCACCGCACCGCTGCGACCGACGGTGACGTCACCACTGCACCATGTGCAAGCCAGCAGCAAGCGCAGCAAGCGAGCAGATAAGGGGTTTGATTGATTAACGATGCGGTGGAGTCGCAGTGAAGGGGCTGCCCGCGGGTTTATGATTGAATGATTGGCCTTGGAGTATGTGCGCGGCTGAAGGCGCGGTGAAGGCGCGGACGGGCGCGCGATAGCTGATCCGAGTGCCGGTCATTTTCTGAGCGGATGAGTGGAATGCCGTTCGGGCGTTCGCCGCGTTCGCCGCCAGCGCACGTTTTTCGACAGCAAATCTCGTATCGTGAACGAGCCAGCGATCCGGTGGACTCGCCATCAGAACCGGACCAAATTGTGTTGCCAATATTTCCAACTAATTTTCTGGGCTGTTGGCTGAGTCCCTTACATCGGTTTCTAGAATACATGTTCGACAAAATTCGAAGGAGCTCACGCTGGGCACGTCTTGTCTTTCCCGTTGGGGCTGCAGTTTCTGCAGGACGTGCGACGCGACTCGCCGCGCCACGTCCGCGGATTCAGATTTGCGACGACTGTAAAGCAAGCCGGGCGGGGCCGGTCTGGTCTACTTGGAGATGCCTATCGTGAGCATGCTGCAAGCGGCCCGGACAACACGCCCAGTGTGCGCGCCACGCGGCGTGCGCACTACGCAGCATGTGCTACACAGCTGCAACGCGGCGACGTGGAGACGCACCGGGACGGGCAAGGAGGCGTGGCAGAGGCAGGCCGTCGCCGTGCCCAGGGTCAGCCTCATGACGGGACTCATGGGGTCAACGAGGCGCCGCGTCAGGGCGCGCGGTGAGCACCGCCTACCAGGTCCTGGCCAGGCCCGTCGAAAGCAAGCCGGCGTCGCGGCGGTCGCCAAGGACCCCGCCTTCTCCTCACACGGCACACGGTCGACCCCCGGGCGTTCCTGGACCGCCAGACCGCCAGGCTGCAACTCCGCACGGAGCACGGACGCATTGTTTTCATTTCGACACAGTTGACGCCGGCTGGGCCTCGGAGACCCCAGCCCCGAGCCCCAGGGGGCCGAAGTCGGGCCGAAGTGAAGGGGACGTGACGAGGAAGACGGCCTGGATGGCCTGCGCTAGAATGTGTGCGGGCCGGGCCGCTTGGCTCGCGGTCCTGCAGGCCCATTCCGAAGAACGCTTCTGTCTCCCTCGCGCCCCGACGAGCCGCCCTACGAGTGCAACCGAGACGGCACGACGAGAGCAATGTTCGGAGTCAGCCTGCCGGGGCACTTTGGCGCGAGTCGAGCAGCAGGACGACGGGCTGCGGGTCCCATTTCTCGCAAAAATCGGGCAAAGCAGAGCACACTGCAAGCACCCCGCTGCGAACACGCGCGGGCACCTTGCCACGGCCACGGCGATGTCCGAGCCGAGCGCGGAGAGAGAGAGATGGGGAGGGAGGGACTCGCCGCGTTGCTTTGACGACGCGGTCCTCGACACCGCGCCGTTCGGGCAGAGTCATTACCCGCAAATTGCAGAGAGGCCCGCCGCCACTCCGCCACCACATCGTAGAGAGCGCCACGCCGTACGCAGCGCCGCCGCCGTGGCGAAACTCGACTTTCCGACGCGACCGACAACGCGAAAGAGAGGCGGTAGCCTTTTTGGAAGTCGGCTGCAAAAGGGGCATGCGCGAGCAAACTGACGTACGCACAAGGAAGTCGCAGCAAAGAAATGCGCCGCCACCGCCGCCGCTGCCTCGCGCGCGAGGGACTCCGGCACTTAGCGCACGCACCGCACGCACGTGGGGTATTGGCAGCACACCACCGGGTTGCGCAAAGGGCTTTCGCCGGTTTGTTTTGTGCCGCGACGCCGCGCCACGTCCTGCCTGACGACGCGCCGCGCGCTGCAGCCGCGTCACAGTGTCGACGCCAACCGCGGTGGCGCCACGCCGCCACGCCACGCCGCCACGCCACGCCGACGTGCACGTCAACGCGGGGCTTATTGGCAAGCAGTCGTGCGGGGAATGCTGAACGCCCTGCTGGGGGTTGCCGCTGACAGTGGAGGAGAGGGGGGGGCACCAGATTAGTGTCATTGTGTTTCTACGGCGGAGCGCTTCTGGCGGCTTCTAGGTTACGCCTGCAGCTCGGAGGCTCGTACTGGGCCAGCAGCGCCGGTTGAGGAGCAGGAGTTGCTGGCGGCCTCTGTGTCGTTTTTCGGGTCGACTCGGAGCTCGTTGCCCTGGTAACACATGCTGAGCTGCCCAGCCCCTGATGACCTTTCTGTCCCAGGGGCGACCCACCCTCACTGGGCGCGGTGCCCGGCGCGTCACCTTGCCTTGGTCACCAAGTGCGTCGCCAAGGACGCCCCGAACCCGTCTTGTCTCCCTGCCCTCGTGTGTCTCGTTTCCCCTGACATTTCCACGCCGGCCCGTGAGAACAAAAAGAGCGGCCGGTTTTTAATGTGCGCGTCCCGGCCGGCCGGCCGGACAACAACAAACTAGCAAGTCGGTGTAGTCGGTGCGGCGGCAGGCGTGGACGAGTTTTGCAAGTCGCGAGGCTCGCGAGGCGTTCCGCAGGGGTGCGAGAGAGACAGAGTGACGAGGCACCGATTGGAATCAGCCTGCAGAGCGAGCCCGGGCCCCGGGGTATGTTGGCCGTCCTGTGTCACCCACCGGCGGCGTGCTCCAGGACGTGGCCGTCGTCCTCCCTCCCCGCCAAAGTGGCCGAGTCGAGCCGAGTGGCGTGTGAGTCCGGCGTCGTGACCTTGGTCGCCGGCCTGGGAAAGGCGTCGCGGCATCGCGGTTATCCCCCACGGGACGGGACGGGACGGGACGGACGGCGCGAAAATGGGACTAGTTCCAGTGGCGCTGCAGCCCGCCGCGCCGCCGCGCCTCGGACGTGGCCGACGGCGCTGTGGGAGGCAACCGCGGCGGAAACGCAAATCGCCCCTGGAAATTCATCCTTATCTCGATACCGGAGGCCGCTCCGCGCGGCTCCGCGTTCGCCGCGGTCGCCGCGGTCGCTGCCTTGGCGCGGAGGCGACTACTTAGTT